ACGCTGATCTGTAGTGCCCCAGTTCTGGCAGCTCCAAATTTGAATGTCTAATTCAAACCAAAGACTGATGCGCTGGTTTCTTTTGATACAAGGTTTTATTAGGAAATACGTCACAAGAAGGATTGTGAGAATGTGCTTGCTGATGGCTTGTCGCGTGCGCCATGTAAACTTGAGGATTAAGAGTTTGATTGTTACAAATAATAATTTAATTTTAAGGGTGGGGGTGTTACATTCATGACAGATTGTAGCTGCATGGTCTCTGTTGTTCTTGCGGTCTCTGTTTTTTTACTCCTTTAGGATCGGTCCTGGAGGTAACGAGACGCTGTTGGTGTTGGGACCAAAGAAGGACTATAAATTTCCCAGAATTCCTCTGGAGGTATAGCTCTCTCTGTCACTTTGATTGCTCTTGATTGTTGTGCTGCTGTGTGTTAGGCCTGTGATGCTTGTGGTGTTTAACAGAGTGCTGTTAGTTGCTTTTGCTACAGTTTGATCTTTTGATAACATCAGTGGTCCCTATTGGTCCTATCTGTATCACATCTTCATTATTTGAGAAGCTGTAGGGGGGTGAGTGCCTTATTTATTTTGTAGGCCTCCACCTTTTCTCCTGTTTATTGGTTAGGAGGTAGGGTATGTCATTGAATGTTTTGTTTCTTTTATTTTAATTCATAGGGAAGTCAGTTTTCTTGTGGGGAAGTTAGTTAGTTAGTTTATTTTTTTAGGCATTAGCTCACCCCTGACGTTTTTTTTGTTTGTTTGTTTTTTTGCTTCCAAACTGTTTGGTTATTGTTTCTTATTTGTTTAAGAAATTGAGTTGTTAATATCATGAATGTTAATATCACGACTATCATTCAGAAAACAACCCAGATAACAAGAAAACAAAAATAAAATGGGTAAATACGAATAATTTGTTTGTCATTTATGTTACACCCTGACCTAGACCAGGGACCGTAACACTACCAGAGAAAATTGTGTATCAATGAAACTAGTGAGAGTTCCCACGGTCAGCTGTGGTTTCAACACTTTAGAGTAAAAAAACCAAAAAAAAACAGCAACATTTTAGGTTTTATGGGACTGAACTTAAATATACAGAACAAAATGATATATTCCATCAAATTATATAATGTTAATACTCCATAAAGTAATAAAACCTATTTTGAACTAACAATCAAGGAACCGCTGGATTTTTACTATTGCTCATTGTTAGTTTATGTTAGTTAATACATTAACAAATGAGACCTTATTGTAAAATGTTACCGTTTTTTTCCCTGTTATTTTGAACGTTCAGCATAGCCCTAATGTTAGTGTAATTTTATACAATTCCTAGTTTCCTAGTAAGTAAGGTTTATTTCTATAGCACATTTAAAACAGCTCGCACTGACCAAAGTGCTGTACATAGCGCAGTAGGAACAGGGTAATAAAAATAAATAAAAATAAAATACACTTACAAATCAGTGATTTAATTATTCCACATCAAGAGACAGACACTTAATTACAAACATAGCAGAATGAGACAATTAAGATGCCGGGAAGGCCAATGTAAAAAGGTGAGTTTTGAGCCTGGCTTTAAAAATCACAATTGAAGGGGCACTTCTGATGTCAGATACCAGTCGGTTCCACAGCTGAGGGCCAGCAAGAGAAAAGGCTCTGTCACCTTTTTGCTTAAAGGACAACTCCGGCGCAAAATGAACCTCGGGTGTAATAACACATTGGTACAGACTAAATCGTTCCCTGAGATTTGTTTTCATGTTAATCGAATATAAAGAGTTTTATCTCTAAAAACAGTTTAGCTTATAACGCTAGTATATTGGGCATCGAGTAAGCAAAAAGAGATCGCTAGTTAATACCATTAACAAGGCTCAAATTAGCCCCACACTAACACGGCAGCATAATGAGTGTCCTTACATGCAAACCGAAGCATTGAGAACTGTGTAAGTGTATAGACAGTTTAATAAGAAGATACTTTACACAGACAGTACAGTTAGCGCATACAGACAGCAGCCATCTTGGAAAACAGTCTCGATCAATAGAACCACGAAGGTAAGCGAACAGTACGTGTAGATATTGAAGATAAGATAAATTATATTTATTTTTTTATTTTCTCTGTTGCGTTCAGTGCTTCTCTTATGCGCTCAGTGCTTTCTTCCGGAAACAACGGACCATATGAGATTCCAAGTCACAGTTCAGCTCACGTATCACCGTGTTCGTGGTTTGACTAATCGAGACTGTTTTCCAAGATGGCTGCTGTCTGTATGCGCTAACTGTACTGTCTGTGTAAAGTATCTTCTTATTAAACTGTCTATACACTTACAAAGTTCTCAATGCTTCGGTTTGCATGTAAGGACACTCATTATGCTGCCGTGTTAGTGTGGGGCTAATTTGAGCCTTGTTAATGGTATTAACTAGCGATCTCTTTTTGCTTACTCGATGCCCAATATACTAGCGTTATAAGCTAAACTGTTTTTAGAGATAAAACTCTTTACATTCGATTATCATGAAAACAAATCTCAGGGAACGATTTAGTCTGTACCAATGTGTTATTACACCCGAGATTCATTTTGCACCGGAGTTGTCCTTTAAGCCGGGACCGTGGGACCTGGAGGAGGCCTTGACTGGAGGATCTGAGGGACCTAGGAGCTACGTAAGGATGAATGATATCTGTTATGTAGCTGGGGGCCAGGGTGTGAAGAGATTTAAAAACCATCAACAGTATTTTAAATTGTATCCTAGACTGGACTGGAAGCCAGTGCAAGGAGGCTAGGACAGGTGTAATGTGTTCACGTTTTTTTTGTGTTTGTGAGCAGCCTAGCCGCTGCATTTTGAACCATCTGAAGCCGTGCCACCAGAGTTAGAGGAAGACCAAAGTAAAGAGATTTACAATAGTCTAGGCGGGAGGTTATGAAGGCATGAATGACTTTTTCCAGATCATTGTATGACAGAACAGACTTGAGTTTGGAAATTATTCTTAATTGGTAAAAACTGGTCTTTACAACAGATGATATTTGTTTCTCCAGGTTTAGATGGGAGTCAAAAATAACACCCAAGTTACGTGCATGGGATTTAACATAGGGTGCAAGGGGACCAAAGTCAGCAGGGATGGCAGTTTTGGATTTTGAGGGGCCAAAGACAATAACTTCAGTTTTGTAGTCATTTAGCTGAAGAAAATTGTTAGCCATCCAGATTTTAATTTCTTTCAGACAGTCTAAAAGAGGCTGCATGGAGTTGTTGGATTTAAGTGGGATGTTTAATTGGGAATCATCTGCATAGAAGTGAAATGAGATATTATATTTTCTGATGATGTTACCTAGGGGGAGCATGTAAAGAAGAGAACTGGACCCAGAATGGACGAGCTGTAACAGAATGTTTGTGGGAGCAGGCGGTAATGGTCAGAAATTCAGCGGGAGCAGGATTACAGAAACAATTCCCATGCAGGGCTCAGGACAGCCAGGAACCTGGAAGTTAGGATTGACGATCAGTTAAACTTCACGGAGCACGTTGCTAAAACTGCCTGGTCCTGCAGGTCTGCCTTATACAACATTATAGGAAGATCAAGCCATTACTAGCATGCTAGACAACCCCTTGCCCAAGCTCTTGTTCTTTCCAGGCAAGACTGTAATGCTCTCTTGTCAGACCTTCCATCATGTACTGTCAAACCTCCGTAACTGATCCAGAATGCAGCAGCGAGTGTTCTTGAACGAGCCGAAGAGGGAACCTCACATAAACTTGAACTGGTTGCTACTCGCATCAAATATAACGAAACCACTCATCATAACAAGGCTTGACATGAAACATTTCTCTGAACAAGGGTTCCTTCATGATTTGAACAATTTTGAGTGGAACATTTTTTATTTAATTCCTGACCTTAAAAAAATAGCCTGGGAATTATTTTATGCAAAATGTTCTGCTTTAGTCAATAAACATCCTACCGTCTTATTTCCAAGCTGTCTGTTCTGGCTAAAGTCCTTGAAACTTTTGTCAGCAATCAATTGAAGGACTATCCATCTGTTAATACACTGTCTGGTTTTCAATCTGGTTTTAGAAAACAACATAGCACAACTACGGCAGCCTTGAAAGCACTAAATAACTTCATAGATTCTGTGGACAAAAGGCAACACTGTGCAGCCTTATTCAGTAAAATCAGAAATGAATACAGGTGGGTAACATGAGACCACATTTCTGTCATGCCATTCATCCACATTTCAGTTGTTTCAGTTATGCGACCGGAAATCTCAGCAACCTATACACTTCCACATTCAGTAAGATTTTGAAATATTTTTAAAAGTCGTCACTTATGCTGAACCAAGGCTGCATTTATTTGATCAAAAATACAGTAAAAATGTTAATATTGTGAAAAATTATTACAATTTAAAATGTTTTCTATGAAATAGAAATATTTTGTAATGTTATACATCTTACCTGTTACTTTTGATTCATTTAATTTATCCTTGCTGAATAAAAATACTATTTTCTTTAAAAAACAAAAGTCTTGCTGAGCACAAACTTTTGAATGGTATAGTGTACAAATCAAGATGAACATGTCTATGTAATCATTTGTGTGTCCTTTTAATACAACACTCAGATATGACTGCACCAATCACCTGTATTCAATTACAATTTATTTCCCATATAAAAAATAAGCATCAAGATGGAAGAATACACTATGGTCTCGTGACATTCGCACACGGACACAAAACTAGAAATGACATTTTAAGTGACTAATCAATGACAAAATCAGCTTTAGGTTTAACAAAAATAAAGCATTCATGGCTGAACTAGATAAAAAATAATCAGAATGTTATGTGTAAGCCTGAAACTCATGTACCCGATAAAAAGCATGAAAAATGACTGACATATCATGTCATGAGCTTTTTAACTACCATAAAGAGAATGCTGATCATAATGTCGTTCTGATAATGTCGTTCTTCAGCAGACATTTTTTCTACTGTGTTTCTTTTAAATACCCTTACAAACAAGTATTCATCATACTTGAACAGCAGCTTAATTAAAAGCTGCGTTGCTCCGTTTCCACTCAGGATCCTTCAGCCCTCTACTACCCGTTTCAACATAGATCCCAAGCCACCTTTAGCCACTTGTAGAGGCGTCATGTTTTCCTTGTTCTCAATGTAGATGCTGGCACCATGTTCCACAAGGAGTTTTGCAGCCTCTGCTCGGTCCTCATCACATGCAAGATGACTGGCAAAACAATAAAAATAGTTAATGCAAAACAGGTCTGAGGAGGTATCTATACATAATCATAAGCAATAGAGGCAAAATAACACTAGTGGTTCTGCACTACTTACAGTGGCGTGTTTCCTTCTGAGTCTTGAATGTTAGTAGAAGCGCTCTCTTTCAAAAGAAGCTGAATGAGTCGGTAGTTGCCTTTAGCAGATGCTCTGTGCAAAGGTGTGGATTGCAGTTTATCTGTTGCATTAGGATCTGCACCGTTTTCCAGCAGAATCTGGGCTATCTGTTAAAAAGTACAAGATAATATTATTATTAATATAAAACGTTTAACAATCTTCAGAAAGATTTGATAAAATAATTTAATATAACTTTGAGAAAAAAAAAAGAGTTGGCAATATATTAATATGAAAAGAATATAATATTAATATAAAAAAAATGTTTCACAATTTTCAGAAAAATTTTATGTAGTAATTTAATATAACTATTTTATTAAAAAAAAGAGCTGGCAATATATTCATTAAAAAAGATAATTTTAATAAAAAAATGTTTAAAGATTTTCAGAAAAAAAATGTAATAATAATATAACTTTGATAAAGAGTTGGAAATAAATGAATAAATACAAGATAATATTAATATAAAACATTTAACAATTTTCAGAAAGTTTTTATGTAATAATTTAATATAACTGATTAAAAAGAGCTGGCAAAATACTAATATAAAAAATGAATATAAGATAATAATATAAAACATTTAACAATTTCCAGAAATTTTTTATGTAATAATTGGACATAACTTTGATAAAAAAAATAAAAAAAGAGTTGGTAATATATTAATATAGAATTAATATAAGATAATAATATAAAATGTTTAACAATTTTCAGAAAAATTATATGTAATAAATGAATATAACTTTGATTTATTTTTAAAAAAGAGCTGGCGATTTATTAATATAAAACGAATATAAGATAATGCAATTTAAATGTTTTTACGATTTTCAGAAAAACAAATGTGTAATACTTTAATATAACTGATTAAAAAAATGACCAGGCAATATTAATATAAAACATAAGTAAGATCAAAATTAATTAATTTTTTCACAATTTTAAGAAAAAGTAATAATTTAATATAACTATATTTAATATAATGCATGAGGATGCATATGCATACATGTATGATACCAGTGCCAAAGGCAAAATTCAAAGTTCAACTAAAGCTAAAGCTCAAACTAAACCCTTTAATAAAAAAATCTGGCAATATATTCATTTAAATATAAAATAAATATGAGATCAAATTAATAATATAAAAAGTTTCACAATTTTAAGAAAGAGCTTATGTAATAATTGAACCCTCTGATGAAGATAAAGAGCTGCTCTTTTACAAACGTCAAATCTACCTCATATCGATCTTTAGATGCAGCGTAGTGTAGTGGCGTACAACCATTCTGGTTCACAGAGTTCAACTGAGCTCCTTTGGATATTAAGGATCTGACTATTTCTTCTCTCCCAGCAGAAGCTGCTATATGAAGAGGAGTCCAACATGCCTGGAATGGTATAACATGGTAAAGAACTCCACCAAGAGGATATGCAGTGAATGACAAAGTATCTACTATCAAGACATTTAACTACATAATATTGATGTCATGCATTAATTGCACTTATAAATGCATTGAAGAGCAGTGATAATAATAAGGGGTGGGGGGGGGGTTTAAAAGCAATAACATTCACTGACACAGTTTAAGGCTTCTGGAATGCCCCATCATGAAACAATGCTGACTCACATCATCTTCGATATTCACTTCAACTCCAAGCTCCAGCAGAAACTGCACGATATCCGCATGTCCAGCTGAACAAGCCCAGTGCAGAGCTGTCCTGCTGTCCTGTATGGAGCAGCAACATAGCATATTAGACTCAATGGAAAAACTTCAATATAGCATCATGCTAACCACTGTGCAACAGCACCAACACTTTCTCACTTACCTGGTCTGTTTTCGTCGCTAGTGCGCTGTCAGAGAAGACGCAACTTTTAAGTTCTTCAAACTTTCCAGTGTACGCTAAATTACAGATTTCTACATTTGATACGCTTCCCTCCATCTCAGACTTTGGGGAGCACCAGTGTGACAATTCAACTTACTGGCCCCGCCCAAAACAAACAAGCTGCAATGTCATTGGATAAAACAACTTACTTAGGTGCCGCAGAATGGTGCCTGATTAAAACCTTTTACTGTCTATGATTAAAACAAATATACAATATCTAACAAAAGTTCCTAAAATGAAATAAAGCCGAGTTACTTAATTAGTAGTTTGTAGGTTACATAATAGCTTTATGATTTTCTTTAGCCAATATAGCCACATTCTTTATATTTAGGGACTTTGCAGAATTGCAGATGACTTTTTTTAAGTATATATGTTGTTGATTATCCTGAAAATACTGTACATTTGTTTATGCTTTGCGTTTTGCATTTTGGTGTAAAATGCAAAGATTGATTGTGAGAAATCTATGAAATCCTCCAGGCTTACTGTTGTGGGAAAATGTACTATTTATGCTTATCTTCAGAAATATGTGAACCTTTTTATTAATAAACCGAATATTAATTAACTGATTTACATATGCATAGATATACATAATACATATAATAGAGTCCAGACAAATTGCTGAGGAAAACTATAGTAGTGAAATGAATAATAAAAAAAATAAACATATTCTACCTTTATGCATTTTCATCCTTTATGTATAAATATTTTTATATTTTCACCCTTTTGTCGTCTTGTGTATCTTTTATTCCCCGTGGAGTTTTCTATTGATTGGAACTATGGTGGGAACTTAGAATGACGGTGTGGTTTTCCAGCGGAACATTAATCGTGAACACAAACACATTTGAGCACATTTTTTTCTCCGATATTGGATTTGTTTTACGAAAAAAGTAAGATAACATAATTCTGATAGTTTGCACGCAATATACCTTTCGACGTGGGCATAAACTACGATTCCACTTTATTTTCTTACATACCGTAATTTTACACTGTTGCTTTGTTTTCATCTGGCTCGTATGCATTTTAAATCGCACTAGCCATTTTATGTTTTATCAGTAGTTTGGATTTCAAACACCTTAAGACGACTGAACATCGCAAAGATCGGTGGAGTGTACGTTTAGTAAGTTACCATGGCTGCTGCGGCAACGGTGGTAAGTTCATTGATATATCAACATTCATTAGTAAAGGGATAGTAAACCCAAAAATGAAAATTCTGTCATTATTTACTCACTATTAAGTTTTTCCAAACATGTATGAATTTCATTCTTCTGCTTAACATACAAAAATATATTTTGAAGAATAAAATACTACATCAATGGCCACCGTCAACTGTTTGGTTAAGTTACTGATTCAGATTATTTTTATTTAATGCCATGGCATTCAAAAGCTATTTTCATGGCAAAAATTCAATTACAAAAATACAAATATCATATAAATAAAAAAAATACAAAAACAGCAAGTCATGTTATACGAGATTTTTTTAAATTAACATATGATAAAAAAAAATCCCAAACCGTTTCAGGCATAATCTTGTCCTAAAAATTGTCCTAGTGAAGTAACTTCCTAATAGAGCATTCTGCTTGTATTAAGTCCAGGACAATCCAATAAAATATGTTTGACAGATAAGGGACTCTTACAAAACATGCATAAAGTTGGGTCTTCACCTTTTAAGTAAAAAACCATGGGTCAAACTTGTGTGACCCATATGACATCTGGTGTAGACTACTTGATCAAGTCTAGTTTTAAGAGTGATAAAAAGTCTGTTTGTAATTTCCGGATGAGTTTCGTACAACTTATAATTCTTGCACATATTCCACTCCGCTTGCCACTTATTTAAATTAATATGTATCGATTAATAATCGGTATGATATCTGAGGGAGGAATTTGACATTCATTAACTTCCTGGTTAAGAGCCTCCTTAGCAGCTGCACCAGCTCGTTTATTTCCTGAAAATTCAACATGGCCTGGAACCCAGCAAAAGATAATACTGAAGAACTGATTTAGTAGATAATCCACTTTGGTTAAAAGGCTGTCCACTAAAGGATGATCAATTTTTAAAGTGTCCATTGCTTGAAGGCAAGATTTCGAGTGTTGTGTATTTTCAATATGTTCCAAAGCTAAAAGTAAAGCACGTGCTTCAGCAGAGAAGATTGAGCACTGCTTTGGAGTACGGATTCCATAGCGTTGATGTCCAGTCACCATTGCTGCTGTTACACTATTTTACACCTTCGAACCATCTGTGAATATAGGTACGTGAAAAGGGAATTGGTTTCTTCTGTCCAAATATTGCTGTCTATATACATTTGGATGAGTCACTCCTTTCCTCTGATGAGCCAAATCCAAATTGATATTAGGCTTCTTTAATTTCCAGGGAGATATAGAATTGAATTGTATTCGATTTAAAATGTTCAAATTTGTATTCATGTTGTTTGGTTACAACATTCTTCAAAATATCTTCTTTTATGTTCCACATAACAATGAAATTCATACAGGTTTGTAACAACTTGAGGGTGATATGACCACATATTTTTCTTTTAATGAACCATCCCTTCAATCAGAAATCTTAAGTAACAATACGTTTATAATCTGTTCATATTGATCAGGATTTCAGGGCTCAAGTTGATCAGTCATGCAGATACTCGGAGGAATTCGTCAACATCTATTATGACTGTATGGATAAGAAAAGAAGGGTATGCTCAAGTTTAACTTCACTTCATGTATGCTGATTTATTATGTTAATTAGCTGTGCATTTGAAGCCTTCATCATAATAACGAATGATTGCTTTCAGACTCTGACGAGGCTGTATCTGGACAAAGCAACGCTGGTGTGGAATGGCAATGCTGTCACTGGACAAGATGCTCTCGGCGAGTTCTTCGAGTCTCTTCCCTCCAGCGAGTTTACAGTGCACACTCTCGACTGCCAGCCTGTGCATGGTATGCAAACTAAGACTACATTTGTTATGCTTTTTCATATTTTAAATTTAATTTTGTATTTAGAAAATATACACATGTGAATTAAATGTTTATAATTATTCAATCTAATACTATTTAATATTTTTTTTTAACAGAACAAGCAACTCAGGGCCAAACTACTTTGTTGGTGGTTACAGCTGGTTCAGTGAAGTTTGAAGGAAACAAACAGAGATACTTCAACCAGAATTTCTTATTAACTGCCCAAGCCTCTCCAAACAGTGACCAGCCAGTATGGAAGATTGCAAGCGATTGTTTTCGCTTTCAAGACTGGGCAAACTGAATTGTTGTCTCAATTTTATTGTATAGCTTTTGTTTTCTTTCTTTTTTTGTAAACTCGTTTCAATTGAAGTATGTACTGTAAATAAAAAGACAGTTGAAGTGTTTCTAAAATGGAATACCACACAATGAGTAGAAAACAAGTTTACTTGTCCCCAGCGTATATTACATACAGTGACTCACAATAAAAAGAATAAATAAGCATCATAGAACATTCTACAAGCAAATTTACAATTTCGCAATGCAAACACTTGACTGCTGTATAGTTTTGCTTATGGTGGTGATAGGAACCCTGAAGGCCGTGGAGGAAAGATCATTCCAGAAGGGTAGTAGTAACTGCTGAACTTCTTGGATTAATGGCTACGAATTTAACAATGGCTAAAAATCCCTGTCAAAAAGAATAGTGCAAATGACAAAATTATTATAAATAAAATACACTTGAATAAAACAAGCCAAGATGTGACCGATTACAATACCTGTACAGATCATACTTTCTCAAAATAAAACAAAAATAAATTAACAAGGGTAAAAACTAAATGTATAGTTTTAACCAAATAAATTAATATACAGAATACAATATTAATGGCAAGATTCATATTCTGGGGCTAAATTGACAAACTTTGCATTAAGTATTGAAAACTGGTTTAATGACATATTACCAAATATATTAAAAGCCTGCAGAAGTGGAATTTGAAAGAGACAATCAGACACTGTTAGCATTAAAAAAATGAGTGGTTTAAAAAAAAATTACACAGATGCAATACAAACTTGACTGCTGTGGCATAAGATGGGAACATTATTCCAAAAAAAAGAAAGAAATCCCTTCATTTAAATTCAGTTTAACAGCCCAAATAAGAAACAAACCACTTGCCAGTCATGTCAACCTGCCCTGAGTCATTCCATAAGCAAATATTTACTAGCAAATATGTGAATCATAACAGCAGCAACAACAAAATGTCTCATTAGTAAAATACAAAGAACATGGTTTGTAACCATTATGAAGACACTAATGCATTGCATGGATGGAGCACACAGAATCGAATGAAAATTTACAGCCAATAAAAAGTAAACGTTTAAAATAGTGACCAATCAGAAGGCACAAAAACATCACTATATATTACTTGCCTCTAAAAGGAGGCCGAATTCTGCAGTGCAATTACTTCACCTCAGCTAGCGGTTTCACGTTTTTAAACCGAGCAAATTAAAAAATTTAAACAAAGAAAAGGAAATTTCACACATATTGAGAAAAGCACGAGGTGATGGCAGTATATCGCTGTTGTGTAGTTGAAATCCTCTTTACAAGAGACTCCTTTTGTATACTAAAAGGAGAAATTAGTGGATACTTCATGCTGGATAAGATGAATATCGTCCCTTGTCCAACAGTTCTCAAGCTACTCAGCTACAACTCTTAATTGTAAACTATTTCACAGCAGAGAGACAACAGAGCTCTGAACGAAAAGCCCACAAAGCTCAGGAATAAAAATACAGACCAACGGCTTATCAACATTGTTCATCTTTGAAAATTTGTGTGCATCACTAAACAACGGGCAGTGGTGAAAGTTGTGGCAAAATGTGTTTTTTAACATTTATTGATATACAGCAATGTTGCACGGTGAGGAACTGATGAAGATGTCTTTGGCTGTGATAAAGGTCCTACTTGTGGCCATACATTCTTTCGATATCATTGAGATAGTGGTTCTTCAGTTCCTTCCTCTTCAGTTTGAATGCGTCCGTCACCAGGCCCGTTTCAGGGGTCCAAGGCTCTGGACTCAGATGGACCATGACTGGTATCTCAAAACGCTGGAGTTTAACTAGAATGATGGAAAGATTATTAGAAGACAAGCTCTGAGATGAGAACATTTTGTACAATTCCATTATGTACACATTAACGTTCATAAGTTTGAGGTCTGTAAGATTTTTTTAATGTTTTTGTATTTTAAAGTCTTTTATGCTCACCAAAGCTCCAAGGCTTTTATATTGTGAAATACTTTTACAATTTAAAATAAGAGATTTTAATATTTTTTAAAAATGTAATTCATTCCTGTGATGGCAGAGCTGAATTTTCAGCATCATTACTCCAGTCTTCAGTGTCACATGATCCTTCAGAAATCATTCTAATATGCTGATTTACTGCTCAAGAAACATTTCTTATTATTACCAATGTTGAAAACTGTTGTGCTTCTTATTATTTGTTGGGAAACTGATACATTTTTCTCAGGACTCTTTGATGAACAGAAAGTACAAAAGAACATTTATTTGAAATAGAAATATTTTGTAACATTATAAATGTCTGTTAGTTTTGATCAATTTAATGCATCCTTGCTGAATAAAAGTATTCTTTTTTTTTTAAATGTTACTGAACCAAAACTTTTCTACGGTACTAGTGTATTTTAAGTAGAGTCAAGTTAAGGTCAAGTGTGCACGAAGTTTGATGAACTAAACGACCATATAAATTACATAAAAAAACAAACATTTGTGAGCTATTTTTTAGCACCAAAATGTATTTACAACATATGTAATGGTCTCTCTATTAGGATTTTTTTTATTTTTTTTTTTTATAAAATATAATGTTAAAATAAAATAGCCACTGAATTAAAAAAAAAAAAACTGCTAAAAATTCAGACTGGGTGTTCAACAGGCCTTCAGGGGACTCATTTTAATTAGCTTCTTCAGTAAATGCCTTCATACAGTGACCCCATTTTGAACTGCTACAAAACCTGGAAGTAACACTCACTTGAAGTTGCGACTTCTTTAATTTCTCTCAGAACTTCCCTTTCCATAACTGGGTGGTTGCAAATCTCTTCCCATGTGCCTTCAATGCCCTTCTGATTGGCAAAAGCTGTCAGCTTCTTCTGATTAGGAACAATGAAGCTGATAACGTAGTTCTGGTCACTGGTGGGCAGAGAGAGAGAAAAAAGAGGTCTGTATACATTACGTCTGCTGTTCTAAAGAGAGGACCTTTTGTTAGTGTCAGTAACATCCCATATGCGTCAGACAAAGCCGAGTGTACAAACCTGTTTGCGTAAGCGCAGATGTTGTCGATGAGAGAGCAGTTCTTCAGAGCTGACTCAACTTTGCCTAAAGAGACGTACTCCCCAGCTTGAAGTTTCACAAGGTCCTTCTTGCGATCTAGGCGTTACAAAATAATACGATAGATAAAATAAAAGTGTGATTTTGACTCAACCAGGAAACAAGACTTGTGATGCTGAATCTAGACATACCAACAATCTGAAGACAGCCGTCAGGGTGCATCTCTCCTACATCACCAGTGCAGAACCACCGCTGCCCGTTCTGATCCACATAGAAGTCGTCATTATTACAGCTCTCACTCCTGTAGTAGCCCATGGTTACATTAGGACCTCCGATGAGGATCTCACCACGTGGGTGAGGCTCGTCACGCTTTGTATAGCCACCTGAAAGAAAGGATATGATGAGAATTACGACCGCTGTAACAAGAACTAAAAGATAAAGGAACAGTTCACCTGAAAAAAAAAAAAACAATTCTTACCCTCGTGTCATTTCAAATCTGTATGCCGTTATTTAGTTTCTTCCATAGAACACAAAAGCAGACCATTTTTGCCCAACTCATCATGCAACAACACTTCATAGAGAAACGGATTGTAATTCAAGCCATTATTCACTGATACTCTTACCAGCAGTGTTATTTTAGCAGTATTTATATACTATTATAGTATTTATCAATACTTTGTCATCTTTTATTTTTATATTTTCAGTTTTCATTTTAAATTTCAGCAATTTTGTTATTTGCTTTTGTATTTTGTTTGTGTTTTTATATTTCTATTTAAATTGTTTTATTATAGTTTTAGTAATTCTATTTCTTCAACTTAAACATTTTAGTTAGTCGTTTTAGTCCAAGTTTTCCATGTAAATTATGCATTTTATTTTATTTCAGTTTTTACTTCAATGAACAAAAATAATTTGTAATAGTTTTTGTTTTTGTCAACAATAACAACACTGCTTAGCTGAAGCTCACATGACACCAAAAACAATACCTTTGGCATTTTTTAGTCTAGATGCCATCAGATTAATTATTATTAGATGATGCACGATATATCGGCCCCCATATCGGTATCGGCCGATTTATGTCCATTTTAATGTTATCGTTATCGGCCTGATAAAAAAAAATGATGTCCGACACATTAAAGCCGATTAATAATGGATTATTTCCTTCAGCTGAGACACTTCAGATGTGCACGGTTCACCATGATTGTTTTGAATGGCTTGAAATACAGTTTGCAGAGCAAGTTTGTCAAATAGGCTACATAAAATTATAATGAGAACATCATTATAACTGTGTGTTTGGGACATGGCTTTTAATGGTGAGACTTTTGTTTTTGCAATCAGGCTCTCAAAAAATATATAAAAACTTGAATTTAGATTTAGTAGCCAACATATTGGTTATCGGCTATCAAATATAAATAATTATCTGTTATCGGTATTGGCCAAATTTTTCACATCGGTGCATCCCTAATTATTATGCAATATTACATTTATGCATTTGGTAGATCCTTTTATCCTAGTGACTTGCATTGCATTAGTGTATACTTTTTATCATTATCAGTTCATGCATTCCCAAGGAATTGAACCCATGACCTTGCGAAAGTTTTTTGTTACACTAATGCTGAAATAGAAGTAAGCAGTTTTTTTTTTTGTTTAATTTGTGCTCTGCAAAAAAAGACAACAGCATACAGGTTTGGAGAAACATGAAGGCGAGTATACATCATTTTTAGTGGACTATTTCTTTAAGATATTAACAAGTAGCTAAATGGAATAGGGTACATTGACCAACCTTCAGCCCAGTCTTTGAGTTTGAGCTCACAGCAGATCAGAGGAGAACCTACTCGTCCTGTGCTATAGTCTGCAACTGCACAACAAAGAAAACAGATGTCATCATTACTTCCATAGTCACAGCTTGAAGCATTAGGACAAATATCTCTGAAGATATTCCAAAAATCGGAGTGTCTATTTACACTAAGTGCAAATAGCCCGCCTTGTTGACAGAGGCTATTGACATTAACACTCCGCACACTAATGTCTGGTTGGGCCAAACAAAATTACAGAAGAAGCCGGATTGTCAACAGTAGCAATACATAGTGTAAGGAGCGTGGCAGAGAATTTTTATGCAAATCGATCCAAGTTCATATCCGCCTTTTGCCGAAACTTGCCCAACTCCCTTTTCCATTTATTTTCAATAAAAATTAAGAAAATATTTGAAAAGTGGAAATAACGTGTATTTAATAATAGTGTTTATCAGTTAGGGTTAGGAGTAGGTGTAGGGAGGGCTTTATTGTCCCAATAAGGCAGCATCCATTTAATAATTAATAAATATAATAATTTACAATTACATGTTATTATTGTAGACCGTTTATTGCACAACAACACTGAGGTGCTATTAGTAGTACCCTATCTGCCACTATTTATAACCATAAATAGCATCTACTAACACTTATTGCAAATACTGCTATTTTCACAGTGTAAATAGAATCTATCGCTATTTTCACTTGGTGTAAATAGCATATCGCTAAGAAAAATGATGCTATTTTCACACAGTGTAACTAGAATCTATCGCTATTTGCACATAGCGCTGCCTTTCTAAATATGTTTCTACAAGTAATGAACAGGGATAGGTTGGAAAAGATGTTCAGATGCATCAGGACTACTTGCCTTCAGTTATAGTGCCTGCTCCACAGGTCTCAGTAAGACCGTATCCTTGACCAACAGGACAGCAGAAACAGATGTTCATGAAGCGCTGAGTGGCGGTAGACAGAGGTGCTCCTCCAGACAGCATCATACGCACATTCCCACCCAGCAAAGACCTGACTTTCTTAAACAAACTGAACACATCGAGGAACAAAGACGATTAAAACTCCAGACTCATTAACAAGAGCAATGTGATTAATTGAAGGCCTATTTTCATCTCATCTTACATATTGCACAGGGGCGCATCGTAACCCTTCTTGATCTGCTCGAGCTTGTAGTCATAAGCCAGTTTGAACAGGGTTCTCTGAACGTAGCTCATCTCCTGCACCTTACTCATGACGTTCTTATTGATCCGGTCCATTATTTCCTGACAGAAGAAACAAAAGTGTCAGATTTAACCTGATTTAAGTGAACAAAGCAAGATGATCATTTTAGAAGAGTCCGACTTACAGGTACGGCTGCCATTAGAGTAGGTTTCAGCACACTGCAGTCACCTTTACTTCCCTTCTTAATTTTGGTTGACTACAAAGCAGAAACAAGCAATTCAAGCATCTGAGATTAACATATTTTGTAAAAACCTCACAAATCTGTGTAGATGTGTGACTATATTTATCTGATCCAGTAACAAATTGGAGTGCTGTACCTGATCAGACAGCGTTTGTGGTGTGGAATAGCCGATCCTGCAACCGTATGTCACACATGAGATCTCGGCCGTCATTTCCAGGACATGAGCAAGAGGAAGATATGCAATATACGTATCCTTTGGTCTGTGGAAGCATACATACATTTTAATGTCAGGCACTTTTGCATTGCAACAGTTGTGTTCTGGAAGTAAAAAATTCCATTCATTTTCTCTATTGAGGAATTGATTTTTAACTATAACTTACAAAACGTTAAATAGAATGTAAGCTATGAGGTTGTTAATCGATGCTATTTTTAGAAGTCATCAGCCTGCATTATTTCAATCTATTTTTTAAATAATCATGTTTAACGGGAGACCTATTGTTTAAAAACAACATTACCCACGAGTCTGCAAATAAATTTCCACCTGAAAGCTGAAACCAGCAAATCAAGATAAGACTTCAGCATCCACCCACTACCGGGAAGCACTGCGAATGAAGAGCCATTACGTACACAATCTTGTATCCGATTTTCAAATACTTTTTTGCCTCAAATAAATTCACCGCATAGCTGGTTTAATTGGTTCATGGCTTATAAGGCTATACCAATTTTTTTTTTTAATCCCTCCCTATGGGGAAAATGAATGGGAAAAATAATTCCAGAACCAAGACCACTGAAAAAGTAAGCGGCCATTGTTGCATTCTATTTATCATTATACACACCCCAATCCAGGTATCCTTTCGCACTGGCCTGCCATTCCAGCAATCAGGTTACTGTGGATGATCATCACCCCTTTAGGTCTCCCGGTGGAGCCGCTGGTGTACATAATAACAGCGAGGTCTGACGGGACGGGCTTCACTATTGGTCTGTTCACTGCAACACAAAGCACACATTATTTTCTTCTCTGGTGACGGAGATCGCAAATCAATCTATCGATATTGTGTGGGTGAACGGAGGGTAAACTACAGGCAATCTGTGAAAAGGTTATTTAGCATAGAAATAAAATGTCAACTGTAAAGTCTGTGCTATTTATAAGATGTATCAAAGCGTTCTTACGGTTTTCTGGCTTGGCTCCCAGCTCTTGCACAGAGTGCATGCTGTGGATCTGGATGCCTTGTGGAAATCCTGCTGTGCTGATGCCCTTCTTGTCCACATAGATGATGTGCTTCAGATTGGGCATTTGAGGAAGAACACTCTGTATGGGAATAAAAAGGTGAGGAAAACATACTTTTCCTTAAATGTTTCCAGAATTTCAATATTTCAAGTGGCAGGGTAAGTAAAGCCAGCTGGCACCGGATGTCAACTCCAACTTTGGGCAGATGATGAGTTTTGCTTACTTAATACCAACAAAATGTCAACATGAGCTGTCGTCAGCGTAATGTCAAATTGTCCTGACATTGATATTTGGTTAAATATAGGTTCGGATGTCAGGTGACCAAAATTCAAACGAAATTTTAAACGACAATAGGGCCTGATGGGGCATTACTGTTAAACCATGTGGTGTTTCTTAAAGAACTTTTTTTATTGGGTCATACATGAAAAGTTGAGATTCAGTCAGTGAGTCGGATCTTTCTGACAGATTCAGTGTATTCATTCAGTGAAGATTTCATCGCTGATTCAAACTGACAACTCATGGGTTCATGAGTACACTTTTGCAACTGTTTATAAGCACAAGCTCACAAGAGTCACTTGTTTGATGGTTGTTTGACAAAACTGGTTTTGAGTGGAGCTAGCAAAGACGATGCAATTGAAAACAAGCGTTGGCTGTGTTCAGGCATTGATTCATTGACTGCAAGTTCATAACTCATCTAATAATTATTATTTTGCCTAACCCTAACCCTATCTGTAATAACTGGATTGTTAGCAACATGTTTTCGGCCTTTGAATAACAAGCTTACCTTCAGTTTGGTTTCCAGCAGTTCTACACTGGTGACCAGGTGTGTAACTCCACACTCATTCAATCCAAAAGTCACTGCCTCTTCTCCTAGAGTCGCATAGAAAGTGACCACTACAAAAAAACCCATGAAACACAGGTTAACAAAAGAAGATAAAGATTAAACAACACATTCATTCAATTTTGGGATGTCACAGAACATCTGAGTCATCACAAGAAATTAAGGGATAAAACCTATGACTCATATGAAATATTTTTCTTTTTCCTTACATGGGAAATTGCGTCTGAAGCAGGCCTGAGCTGTGATCATCCACTCTGGCCGCGTCTCACAGAAAATTGCGATGGTGCGTTTTGGCTGTTGGCCTAGTGCTGTCAGTCCGCACCCAAACTGACTGACCACAGTGTCCATCTCCTCATAGGACAGCCATTTATAATCACCCTGAATTAACTGACAAAACAAAACCATCAAACACCTTCATACTAACAAATATATTATTCAACACGGAGTTTTCTCCAACAAATTATGACTTTTGCAATGTTCACATTGCATTTGAATGTGGACCAAATGTTTTTTTTATTAGGATGACAGTGTGAACAGCAAAAAGCACACGAATACACAGACATTTTCACAATTATATGCATGGAAATAAACCAGATGTGGCAGATGTTTTTCAAATGTGAATTCACTGTGAACTCTCAGGTAGGAATTTATGTAATTTCTGTCAATTTAATCCAATTTCATTGTTGTGAAAATAAATGATGTTGAAAATTTCACTATGACAGTGCACTACAACACTAGAAAATGCCAATACAAGCTATTTTCATATAATTAAATATGATTTATAAAGAAATATTAATAAATTAACATCTATAAATGAATGCATATCCATAAATATAATATTAATATATAAGTTATATTATCTCTTATTTTGAATTGGAAAACATCCATTTCAAATAATCTTTTTTTTTCTTCTTTCTATTCATCAAATAATCCTGAAAAAAGTATTATGGTTTCCACAATATTATTAAACAGCAGCAAATAAGCATATTAGATTGGTTTCTGAAGGATCATGTGACACTGAAGACTGGAGTAATAATGCTGAAAATTCAGCTTTGCATTACATTACATTTTAAAATGTATTCTAATAGAATAAATAATTAAAATAGAATACTATTATTTAGTATTTTTGATCAAATAAATGTAGCCTGGGTAAGCATAAGAGACTTCTTTCAAAATCATTAAAAAAGCTTTTGAACGGTAATGTACAATTATAAATAATATGCATTTATGATGTTATGATGAACAAACGTTATGTAACAGGCCTGTTTAGAGGAGTCGCTTGATTCGACCAGCGTCTGACATGAGCCAAATTGAAAAGGTCATGAGAAAATGTAGGTCAGCAGAAAATTTTAAATAGGCACTTTGGCTTGCAGTGTGATCACAGAATATGTACCTTTTTGAAAACTTTCCCATTCGGTTGAGGCTCATTTTCTTCACTCAGAACTTCTCGGGTTCCCAGGCAGTCCGCTTTACCGAAACGCTGCACCGCATGGTCAAACAGCTTATCAAGAGTGTCTTTTCCAGGAAAGTCCACTGTGACCAGGGAGTCGAAGTGATCCACCGAACGATATGGTCCATCCGCCTGACCGGTCGTCGACTTGGATTTGAGCCTCTTTGCCAGGACTTTCTTTTCCTGGGCTCCAGTCAGGAAGTACCATGGCAGAAAGCTTAAGAGGGAGTAGAACCACACCACTGTGTGTACGGGGAACAAGAGAACGGTACTCAGGTCCATGCTGAGAAGCTGAAGGGGACTGAACGATGAAGGGATCAGGCAAAGCCTGAGGTAGAGTCAGTTTGTTGTCCTGTGTTCACAACTGAGGATCGGAGGATCGGGATCAAAGTTCAGAAAGACTGGGGAAGTGTCCAATATGTGGTTCCAATGTGCAACCTGGTGAGAATGACAGTCAGAAATAGAGGGAATTTATTATATTCAAGTGTACTCAACCAAAGCACAGTACCCTACTTTGGCTTGCTTAGTTTAAGTTTAAAAGATACTTAATATTCAGTAATATAATCGAATTGACTGCACTGACACTACTGGATGAGAACAAAACTTGAACTGAATCGACATTAAAGCTGAATAATGACACTGTCGTCTTCTGTGGAGCTGCTCATTATGGAATATTGTTGTTTCCGCCATTGAATGAAAAAATAAAAAAGGTAACTGTGACTTTTTAATCTAACAAATCTGAATCTTTTTTCTCACAACTGCAAGATTATCTCACAAATTGGACTTCATAATTCACAATTGCAAGTTTATATCTCATCATTCAGAGAAAAAGAATTTAGAAGTCAAAATTGCTAAACTTTTTTGCCTCGCAATTGCAAGTTTATATCCTGTAATTCTGACTTTATTTCTTTGCAATTTTTCGGAATTCGGAGGGAAAAAAGTCAGAACTCGCAATTAAAATAGGTAGCTGTAACTTTTTATCACGCAATTCTGATTTTTTATCTCAGAATTCTGAAATGTAAACTTGCAATTGCGAATTATAAAGAATTGTGAGATTAAAAAGCTGCAATTTTGTTACTTTTTATTCTGTGGCGGAAACAAGCTTCCATAGCTTATAGCCGAATTGAACTCATTTCATAATTGATGAACATTACAGTTATTGAACTGAACTGAATCAACACTGAACTGAATAATGACACTCGTATCTTTTATAGAGATGCTTTGTTTACAGCAGAATGAATCTCTCTCATTTAATGAAGTTTAATGTTCATTACTTCCTGTTCATCCCTGTGAAGCTGCTTTTAAACATCCGGTATTATATAAACTATCCCCTTAACTATCCCTTTAATGACAGGTGCAGACATGTGTTTGGCTTCTTCAAAAAGCAAGGCACAAGACCGTACTGCACTATTGCATTGCACTATGAACGGAGTAAAGTTAAGTCTCTGTTAAACTCCCTTCTTGTCTTTAATAGTTACCATAACATTACAGAATTCATTAATGTATTGTTAAGGTCAATATAGACTAAAAACCTTAATATTATCCTATTAATCCTATTCATTTCCTGATTCCTCAGCTTCTGGGAATGTCCCCACCAATCTCAAAACCAGACCTACGCCCTTGATATAAAGTGCTAAAGGTAACTACACTTCTATGAGAAAGAGCAAGTTTGAGGCTTCAAGTGGAACGGTTTGCATTCAAAATGAGAAAAGTGAGGCTTATTAGAGGACAGTCACATGTGTTGTGGAAAAGACACATTCCAGGGCAGGGAACAGTGTCTCTCTGGTTGTCATTCAATTTAATTGCACTAGCATGAAGTCAGAAGAAACACTTTGCGATGGCTGCCCTAGCCTAAAGACAGGGCGGACTCTAATGAACAAACAACAGTGTGATATTAAGGCACACGTTTATTACCACACATCTAGTTTTTGGAGATTAATGTTAGTTAAAAACTTGATACACTCATATCTAGTGTTCCTGTTTCTGGTACAGTCATGGATTAGTCTAGATTACAAGGAAACACCCAAAATTATCAAACAAACCCATACACAAATCAGTTTCATTGAGTTATCTCCGTTATTAGCCACTTAGGTGAACTCTGGCTTATGACTTCATCATAGGCAGATAAGGTCATCTCTTGATCAAATGACTAGTGTCAGATTAAGGAAGTAAAAAGGAGTTACTCATAGACGGATATAAGAAAGGACTTCAAACTAACAATAATGCTACAACCTGTACACAAAGACCTAAGTAAATTTGCATAGTTTTGCGTAGTACTGTTGCTGTGCTACCAAACTGTGCATTGTCTATGAAATTAGATCCTTCAAGTCCTTGCTGACAGTGAAGACAAGTGTGACCAGCTGCAGGGGCTGTTAAAAAGTATCAACCAATGGCACAAGGTTAATGTAGGACATAGTCCCCTGACTCAGATAACCAAAGCCATCTTGTTATTATGGCAGTTAGTAATCTCTCTCTGTTTGTTTAGGCTGACAACATTTTGGCGTACAGACACCAAGTCATGATCAATCCTGGTGAAACGGCATGTGACGTTGACACAACCCACAGCCTGATTTACAGTTCAGGGCTAGGATTAAACTAATTTCTGCTATTCCAATGAAAGAAAGACAACAAACTAGTGGTCAGATAGTGTTTTTAGTGGCTGATTTCTAGAGATTATTTAGGCTATATGTTAATTATTTTTATGTTACAACCTTAAACTGATAAATGGCCAATATTTAACTTTTTGGAATTTCTACCAAAGTGAATTTAGACATCTCAAAGTAAAATGGATATTCATTTGCTAAAGATTTACATTTAACAGTTTTTTTTAAAAGGTAAGGTAATCTAAATGTAAAATTAAATATACATTATTAACACATTCACATAACTTCACACTAGGGCTGCACGTTATCGAAATATCGTTAATGTACATATCGCAATATGCATATCGCAACGGCTTGAGATATCTGCATGATTTTAATAGGCTACACTTCAAAAAGTTAAGTTTTAGGTCGAAAAGTCAGTTTTAGGTTGACGCTTATAGCAGCAATAGACTGGTAACGCGACTGTTACTTGTGTGTGACTTGCTTGACGTTAAAAATTGTTATTAAGCGCAATAAGCTGCGGAAAACAACTCTTTGCGATACTGTCAGACACACAACCGAAGCGCGCACGCAGAAAGATGCCTCAGACAGCATGCGATCCCAAATTCAGTTCTCTTTCGCGGCTTATTGCACTCAAACGGTCAAATACACACATGTATGTCAAAATGCCTGTCATGTTGAGTATTCATGTAAACAGTCGGTTATGTCTTAACTTAAGTGAACGTCAACAATTAGAAATTAAATCGGATGTGTCAAAAGGATCCATAAATTAGGTCTTAAAGTGAGAGCAGCCCAATACAGTAAATCTGCAACTGTATGTCAAATAAGAAAAAAAAAGAGGAAATCACTCACTGCTCTTGACTGAATAACTTTTCTAGATTTATTATGGATCAATGTATATTAGAATTTGTATTGACGCCTTCTTTTTATATTGGTTATATAATTTTCAGTTTTTAAGAACATTTAAATATAATTGACATTTATTTTTAACACTTAAAGCAATATCGCATCACATATCGAATATCGCATATGTGCAGCTCTACTTCTTACCTGGGACATATTAATTACAGCTCTACCCTTGCTCATGCAAAGTTAATTGCATTAACCAGTGACAAATTAACTTATAAAGAAACAGACATTAATGCTGACTGGATAATTTTTGTTTTATCTGCCCTGATGAGTTGAAACCCGTACAAAGGTTATACTCAATCTGAAGCCTTAAATCCTGGTGAGAGTGGTCAGTGAGCTGGACAGCCAATAATATGCATCCGACCAGCTCACCCCACTCACGGGACCAGATCTTCAGCAGGTGGACAGACACACAGCAGACGGGAATAGAATGATTGGATCTGATCCCATTATCTTTGTATCTTTTACAAACTGACCTCTGTTTACTAAAAGGACACCTTAAGCCAGTGGTCTCAAACTCGCGGCCCGCCCCCTACTTGACATTAAAGTTTGCCGTCGTTGCGTGTGCAGCGTTTTAAAAAAAAGATTTTATTTTTTTTATCCCTTATGGGCTACCAAAGTTAGTCTCGTGACAGCTTACGGTGGGTTTGTTGTCAATAGTTGTCATAGACAACCGCGAAGTACAAACATACTGCGCCTGGAAAAAATGAGTGCGTCGCTTCAATTATGAGCGCGCTTGCCGCGCGCCTACATTTGAAATAACGAACTTGAGCGCGCAAAATATGTGAGCGCGATATGTCAACAGGCCCCTTGGCGAGCTACCACCAATCAGGCCACGAGCTACTGGTAGCTCGCGAGCGACGTGTTGGAGACCCCTGCTTTAAAACAATGTGAGAATAATCATTTTGAGCTTGTAATATGTGTCCAACAGGTTGATAAAAAGGTTTGCTTTGATTTGTGCAAAATCAGTCATTTGAAACACTATACATGTGTAGAAAGAATTCAATAAGACGGGCAGACATGACTGCAAATATTTGTATTTCAAAAGCAATAATTGTTTTTCTAAGTATAATAAAAGGAAATGTGCCTTCCAAAAAAAAAAACATTCAATATCATTAATGTGTTGTATAAAGAAAATAAAAAGGACATAAGCAAATATAAATATCACAAATATGTGTTATAGAGGGAAAAAACAAAAAAAGTTTGTAAAATGAACTTCAACTGTCAGAAGGACAGCTCATGAAGAACCAATCATGTACAGAAAGGTATGTTCAAATTCAGAGGAACAGTTCAGAAGAAACGTTAATAATAAAGATTGAGAAGATTGGATCAGTTGTGTTCCTTTTTTGGAATACTTGAATACTATTTTTTTGTGGAATATTTGATGCGGCCCAGCCTGACCCAGACTCTACCTCCAGCGGCCCCCAGTTAAGTTGAGTTTGAGACCCCTGCCTTAAGCCAAGTTGACCTGAATGCACACTTTCAAAGTTTACATCAATACTACTACAGACTGAGTGGTTGTGACTACGATTCCTTTACAAATATTAGCATAATCCATTGATGAGGTTGTCATGTCATCAACACATTTGAAAGTCCAACTTTCTGTTGTCGTGTACTTTTAAACGATTTAAAGGTCAGATAAGCGAGATAAAGATAATAAAATCTATATAAAACCTACCACCACTAATATATTTGCACTTTGCACTAATTTTGGGCGCGATCACATCAGGCTCAAAATGCCGTCTCTAGGCACGACGCAGCTCTGATTTGAGACACAACAACACGTGTTCCGTCCGTCACCGTGGAAACGGCTCAGTTTAATAAATGAAACGTTTAATTTCACCCAGATCGCTTTGATTACTCGAATCCGGCAAAGCTTGTCTATATCGCTTAGTCTGATCATTTGAATGTGATGACGATGATGGTGGCGCTCTTTGTCGGATGCGAATTGCGAACGTCAAACGCAGCATCATAATCATCATCATCATCATGAGAGGATGCCAAGACATGCTTTTCCATCACCTAGCCTCAAATCAATTAATTCTGTATTAAAAGTCAATTTACACACTTCAATGGTCATTCATACCCAGTAATGACGTATAATATTCAGATTTGATGAAGCACCCTGATGTTAGCCAGCTAGCGCACCCTTTTTCTTTCATTCATCTATAAAGTCGCAGTAAACAAGAAAAAAATGTACAAACAATCCCCTCGTAAAGAAGCTCTGAGGTATTAAGATTATAGTAGTGTACGAGTAGCTGATTAGAAAATGATGCCCGTTAAATCTTACCGGCGTTTAGTCTCTTCCCTCCAGAGCCGGATCGACTGCTTGAGTTTCTGCCTGCCAAGCGCAATGACCGACAGTTACCTCCAGCGCGTGCTGTTACACCCGGAAATATTGCGTCATCTGACTCCATATTTTTCAGCCAATAGTCGTCCAGATAATGAAGCAAAAGCGCATCATTCACTTCCCGTTGCTGTTGGTGCACTTCAGGTCATGGCTACAATGGTTCTAGTGATAATGTTAGTTATAATAAATGAAATGTCAAGTTCTGTGGTTTCATAAGTAACGTAGTCTGTCTTTTCTCTGTGAAAAATTGTAAAATCCACATCATATTCTACACATTAAAGTAAGAGTTGGTGGTGTTTTGGGATAATTGAACTCAGGAAGTAATATTAAAATAATATTCTTGATCTGTAGTAAAAAAAAAACAAAAAAAAAAAAAACGGTAGCACTTTACAATAAGGTCTCATTCGTTAAAATTAGTGAATGTATCAACTAACATGAACTAACGATGAGCAATACATTTGTTACAGTATTAATCTTTGTTAACGATAGTTAATATAAATAGTTGTTCATTGTTTTCGTGATAGTTTCACAGTGCATTAACTAATGTTAAAAAAAATCAAATTTTGATTTTAATAATGTATTAGTAAATGTCAAAATGAACATTAACTAAGATTAATAAATGCTGTAGAAGTATAGTTCATGTTAACTAATTATCCCTTATTGTAAAGTGCTACCAAATAAACTATTGTAGTCAAGTCATCTTCATTTATATAGCACTTTTAACAATGTAGATTGTTTCAAAGCAGCTTTACAGAGATAAACATACAATTTACGGTAACAGAGATTGTTTTGGCTTTATAGCGATAACATTGTAGTATATGGAAAGCAGCAGAATTCTAAGCAACAGAAGGCTCACTGGAAATTTGTTACAACAAAAGTTGTGGGGAAAAGAGACAAATGAACCAAAAACAGTTTGTGCATTAAGATGCATTTTTATTAGCTCCTATTTACATGGTGATATAAAATAAAGTTCCATGACTGCACAATGCATTGTTGCTATGTTGTAAATGCAGTGTTGTAAATTGTACCACAACATCAAGTTGTTCAGTCCTTTTAAGCGGGATCACTTTTTGCCTTCAACCATGATGATGTGGTAACCAAACTTTGTTTTCACGGGAGGATCTGTGTATACGGGTTTGTCCATAGTGCTGACAGCTAGAGCAAACGCTGCATCCTGAAACGGTCCCACCATTGATCCTCTTGTCATCCAGCCAAGGTCACCCTGTCATATGCAAACCAAAACTTTAAGCTATACAAGCCGTCATTAAGACATTTATGCAGGCTTGATAAAAAGCAGAATTCAAATAACAAATTACTAAGTACATACTTTGATCATAACTGTAAAACAAAAGGTATATAAAGATCTGAAGGTACTAGGCAACAGGTTCTTCCAGGTATGTTTTTTTAGTTTTAGGAAAGGGTGGACAGAATAAGTAATATTAAATATTATGAGAAATTCTATAGACTGGGTTCAGTGTTCAATGCAAATTACATTTTGAGGAATTTTCCTGCATGGATAGCGCATTGAATAATCTTCTGATAAAACAAACAAACAAACAGTACCCATAGGAACTACAGGAATGAATATTTCTAATAGCATGCAAGTGTCAGTGTCACATTACTGCTACTAATATACTGTTATCTACAGGAAAAATGTCTTACTCCTTGTCTGGCTTTGTCCTCACTGTATTGTGCTGCCACTTCACTGAAGCGCATACCAGATTTGAGTTTCTCCATTGCTTCCATACACTTGCCATGCTTTTCACACAGAATATGCCGAACCTAGCAAAAAATAGACCAAAAAAAAAGGGTGTCAATATGACAAACAAAAATGTCATTTATTTAAATAGCAGTTTGACAGTGACAATGAGACTTCACATCATTCATTAAAAGGGCTTCTGAGACACCGTAGCAAATTTGCAAACAAGTTTGCATATTGTACTATATTAAAACAGCACAGCGGAAAAAGATTAAACAATAGATAATGCCATTGCCGATACAAACAGTTAAAATAATTCTAATTTCATATAATAATAAAATAGGAATGTTAACATTTAATAAACAATTAACACGTAATAAACATTTATGAACTACATTTTATAAATGTATTCATATCTATAATATTCATAGGAACTTAGAATCAGTGTAATTTCTATAAAAAATAATAATAATAAAAAAAAAATGCTAAGATTGGTATTTGTAAAAACATCTTAAAAGGACTATACCAGTGCTATTTTACTATCACCTCAGGTTTTATGAAGAATAATTTAAGACTTTTTCAAGACCAAGTAAAGAAAATTTAGGGAATTTATTGAAGGGAACACAATACATCACTATGTTTTCTAAAAGTTAAATGTCTAGGGAGAAACACAATGAGTTGTATTAGTAAAACACTTCAGAGTTTGAAAAAACAACTTCCAACAAGATCTCCCTTATTTTTTCATTCAATTGACAAAAAAAGTAGCTTGAAAACCTCTGCTCTCAACCTCTAGAATATGGACATAACATTTACTTTTCCTTCTGATCACACTGCTAAAAAGTGATGATCTTCCTCAGTTTTTTTTTTGTCTTGTTTTCTAGTGCAATAGTCTAAAGATTCTTAAATCAAGATGAATTTACTGGAGAGAAAAAAATGAAATAAAATATTAAGTCTTGTTATCAAAACAAAGTGAGTTTATGCTTAAAACAAGAACAAATATCTGCCAATGGGCTCAGAAAAACTTAATTTTTGAGGTTTTCATACCTCACTAACATATTTGTTCTTATTTTAGGCATAAACTCACTTCATTCTGTTAAATTTTTCAAGACTTTGCATTGGAACACAGAACAAAAATACGGATGAAGATATACATTTTATTGCAATACATGCAACATTTAATGCCATACTTTGTGTAAGAGCGAATTACTTTTAAGAAAATTTAAATTCTGTCATAATTTAGCTACTCACCCTCAAGTTGTTTCAAACCTGTATGAGTTTCTTTCCTCTGCTGAACACAAAAGAAGATATTTTGAAGAATGTCGGTAACCAAACAGTTCATGGACCCCATTGACTTCCATAGTATTTTTATTCCTACTATGGAAGTCAATAGGGTCCATCAACTGTCTAGGCACAGACATTCTTCAAAATATCTTCCTTTGTGTTCAGCAGAGGAAAGAAACTCATACAGGTTTGAAACAACTTGAGGGTGAGTAAATGACCGGATTTTCATTTTTAAGTTAACTATTCCTTTAAGATACGCAGACAGAGTTCCCACACCTTGGTTAACTTCAAAGGACCTTTCAAGGACTTTCCAGGTCCAATACTCGCAAATTCAAGGACTTAATGTGAGAACACATTGGTTGTGTCGAACAACAAACGTTGAGGTACCATAGTAGAGTAGTTTCGTGAGCGCGTGAACATCATGGCAACGTACAACACAAAGTACCTCACGCGGGAAACACTTAACGTAACGCGTAAATGCGCGTAACTAACGTAAATCAAGCTAGCTAGAACGCATAGGCCACAAAGTGTTGGCGATTTAACACATTAGCGGACCGGAGGGAATAATATGGAATTTTTTTCCAGAAAACTTAAATTCAAGCACTTTCAAGGACCTGTATCTATGTATGTTTATTTTCAAAAACTTTTCAGGGCCTTGATTTTTAATTTTTTTCAAGATTCACAAACTTTCAAGGATTTCAAGGACCCGTGGGAAACCCTGCGCAGAAACCCTGATTATAGTTTTTATTACTATTTTGAAATCATTTTTAATCTTTATATTTTCTGCTTTCATTTAAATTTGAGTTAACGTTGTTATTTTAGCTAGTTTTCTAAATATGTCTATATATATTTTTTATTTGTATTTCAGCTTTATTTTTATTTTAGTACCTCAAGTTAAACTAAAAAGAGAGAAAAAGTAAAAAGTTGCCTTGCCAACTAGCTAAAATATATATTTTATTTCAGTTAACATTTCTTTTCTTTTATTTGCAGTGCACTGTACAAAAATATGTTCATGATTTATAAAAAATAAATAAAAAAAATGTCAAATCAATGTGGTTCAGATGAGATAATATTTTGAGTTTCTGTTAATTAAAGGGTTAGTTCACCCCAAAATGAAAATTCTGTCAGTAATTACTCGCCCTCATGTTGTTCCAACCCCGTAAGACTTTCGTTCATCTTCGGAAAACAAATTAAGATATTTTTTATTAAATACTTTTTGTGCGCAAAAAACAAACAAAAATAACGACTTTATTCAACTATTCATTTCCTTCTCTCTTGGCCTTGAGATTTCACGTAGTGATACTGCGCAAAGCCTCTGTGTTGTACGTCACACGCATCACACACATGACCAGCGTCGGCCAATAGTGAGCCTACGTGTGACATACAACACAGAGGCTTTGCGCAGTATCACTACGTGAAATCTCAAGGCCCACAGAGAAGGAAATGAATAGTTGAATAAAGTCGTTATTTTTGTTTGTTTTTTGCGCACAAAAAGTATTCTCGTCGCTTGATAAACTTAAAGATAGAGCCACTGTAGTCACTTGGACTATTTTAACGATGTCTTTAACTTTTCTGGGCCATCAAGTTTCCATCCCTTGGAAGCCACTGGAGGAGTGAGACAGCTCTCAGATTTAATAAAAAAAAAATCATAATTTGTGTTCCGAAGATGAACGAAAGTCTTACGGGGTTGGAACAACATGAGGGTGAGTAATTATTACTGACAGAATTTTCATTTTGGGGTGAACTATCCAGTTTAAGCCATCCATCGCCATTTCATGAACTCAAATTTTTCATTTTAATGATCTCAATATTTGAAGGCAACCAGGTTACTTACTTTTTAAAATGAAACCAACAATAATTTTTTACAGTGCGACGATTTTTGATGGTTTTAGTTAACTATAACCCTGCAGTATGTGTACAGATGTTTACCTTTACTGCAGTACCTCCTTTCTGAGCCTTCTCCTTCTTCTCACTGTCTCCACTGCCTGAAGCAGCAGCCCCTGCACAGATACAACATCTTAGCGTCTGAAAAGTACAACAAGGCAATTTAAACAATACTTATCCATTTGTATGTATATTTTGAATTTGCCACATTAAGCGAATCGGACATCTGGACACATTCTTCACGCATTTCACACATTTATAACGTTACTTGTTCAGCACATTTAATACAATGGCCAATACAATACAGAATGGCCTGAAATGTTTCATTAACACTAGCTGTTGGTCTTTTATAAAACAAGACAACATCAGCTGAAATAGTATAACAATGTTTACAATCAGTTACCCACAAACACTAAGCTAACTAGCATGTCAGCAAATAGTGCAACACTTGTGCACAAATGTGCTATAAAATTGGATATGGTGTTTGTTAAATTTTGTTCGTTCAGCACCATATATTTTTTGTTTACCTTTAGCACCTTTGCCACCCTTTCCTTTTGGTGGCATTTTCTTTATCCTCGTGTTGGATGTGTTTCCAGTCTATGGTTTCCACTGAACCCTTTGCTAGCACACAGGAGCTAGTAACTCACTGATTCCCACGCGGTTAACCTGGAAATTGCGCGGAAGCTTTTTTCAGCGTACAGTTTTACAGTATACTTTATGTCAGTCTATACTGTGCAGTAAACAACATATGCAAATCTAACAACTGAAATGTATTTTTGCATTTTATGTTTAAAACAGATTATGATAGTAAGGTTTAGACAATCACATTGATGTACAAATGTGTCCAAGCCATAGAATGTATACGTAGATGTCAAATTCGACGGTCAAAGCCTAAGCACCACCTCAGACAAGTCGTCGCGCCCGCCATCTTGGAACGGTCAGCGTGTCGTCACTCACTGTAATAATCAATGATGCCACAACATTGCGCAGGTTCTGATTGTGAAATCGCCCAAATGTAAAGAAATTTGATAACTTTTCACAGGTGTGATTGCGTTGGTTGTTTTAATTTGTTTTTATGTGGATTTAATATGGATTTTAAAAAATTGTTTACTGTGGTAACTTTTTTAATGTTGTACAGCTGACGCTTTCGTCTTATTGTATTGTAGTTTAGCAAAGTCATCTGCTGCGGTCTATTGCAGATATATACTGCGATTGCAGACGCTCAGTCAACCTGCTCTCCGTGTTCACGAACAGGCTTTGACCGGTCCAATATGGCGGACGGCGGCCTTAGAAACAGACACTAAAGTGGATCTATGTATATATATCTAGTGTCCAGTCCAAGCGAACCGAACACGACAGAGCGTCATGATGACGTCCTTAATACATTTGTGAAAGGTGTGGATTTTTATTGCAGAAACAAAATCATTAAAATGTTCAATGTGTTTTGCGGAGTTATATTTTACATTACGCCTTCGTCATTTTAATTCATAGATATATATCTATGATTTTAATTAAGCAATGTATTCGCCTTTAAGTACCATAGCTAAAGTTTGGAACGAATCGGATTCCCTTTTGTTGAGAAGGAGCTGTCATGGTAACATGAAGACAACACAGTCGCCTTATTCTCCCGACACGACGCATTAACTAAAATAAATAAAAAATAAATTCGTTTTTTTTATCAATAAGGCATGAGGACCCAAAGGTAATAACGATTTTAAAGATGTTTGTTTTCTAAAAAGTTTGTTTCACCTGCTACTTTGGCTAGTTGGCAGAACGAACCTGTTTATTACACTGTAAAAAGTAAAACATTGGTGTTTTTCGTTTGATTTTTTTTTTTTCATTCCAATAGCCTAAAATTATTAGATTGTTAAGTAAAATTACATTTTGTGATTTGTATGTGTCTTTCAGTCTATTTTCTTAGATTGGTACAATATAAAATTATAACATTACAATGAATTTTAAATTATACATTCGATCAAACGACTTTTATTAGATAAAGCATGGTTTGCGCATGCGCACACGTGAAAACTCGAGAGAAGGTTCTAGAAGAGACCGAGCGCAGAAGTCGGAGAGTCATCTGTTGAACAACGCGAAGCGAACAGGACACGTTTGTCAGGTAAGGGGGTACCATTCAGCATTTAAATACTTGAAAAGTATTAACGTCATATCATTTTAATGAACAGACACGCAGATTAGAAGTTATTATAACATTCATTTTGACATTATAGTGGTAAGTAGCGTTAACGCGCCATTTTACAGCTAGGTGCTAACGATTTTCCAGGGAAATCCAAGAACTTAAGATTATATACCGTTAGACCGATTGAATGGATATTATGAAAGGAAAAAATGATGAATGTTGTTAAAAAAACGATGTATTCATGACTGAGTTTTGAGTAACGACAATTAGCTGCTAACGTTAAATGAATCACCTCAATATGGGAGTGACGTTTAAGTTAGCTAGCTAACAACTTAACGTTAACGTTTCCCGCCCAGAGTTTAAAGTCAGGCTAACTGCCTCTCCCCCGGCTTTCAATATGAACGCAGATTTTATAACGTTATGTTTTATGTATTAAATTTGCGAAGGCGGAAATTAATGTGAGGAAAATAAATTTACACTTTGAAACTGCAAAACTAAAACGGATTAATGACTGTTTGGATTTGAATTTTAGGAAAGCTGCTGCTTGGTTGGCATGGTTCCTAGTTTTGGGCAGTTTTGGTTGTCTGTCAAGTCTTCACTGACACGGGTAAGTTGTTTTTGCGTTCAATACAGATTGCAGGGCAGGAGCAAATGATTATTGGAGAAGTCAAGGTAACTTTACTGTGTTTCAATAAAAACAGTCTTTTTAATAAACTATATGTACACTTACAAAGTTATCAATGCCTTGTTTCAAATGTTAGAACCTTAATTATACTACCAACGAAGTGTGGGGCTACTTTGAACCTTGTTTATGGTTTATAAAACAGTGATTTATACTGAGCATGATGCCCCTAACACTAACATTGTGAGCTTTTTGCACCTTTAGGCTAAATGTGTTCTAAATGTGTCAGGCAGGCATGGCATTATAAAAAAAAATGCTCCATGATGAATGGTCAAATTTTTTATCATGTTTCATTATACTTTGTCTTTTTCAAACCGTATTTCTACTGTATGTGATAAAAAAGGAGCATGTTATTTTAATGAATGCATTTTGTTCAGGTCGTGGACAACACAAGGAGGGAATCAGTTCTTAAATGTTTATTCATCTGCTTTGGTGAATCTGTTCACCATCTCATCAAGAAAATTCAGGTACGTACATCGCTCAGCAATCCACGCACATACTTCCATACTGTACATACAGTACATACAAAAAATTAGAATGTAGTCTAAGTTCAGTAATTTGAGAAAAAAAAGTTACAAAAAAGTGTAACTCATGCATTATATATATATATATTTCACGCAATTATTTGTGCTACTTCTGTTGATTGCAGCTTATAGCTATGTTCACGTATATGCACTAAATACCTGGTATTTTGGCCTCCTTTTGCTTGAATTGCTGCATCAGTATGGAGGCAATCTGCATGTGGCACAGCTGAATGCCCAGGTTGTTTTAAAGGTTGTATCAGCGATTGCAGGCACAAACATAAATGATCATTCATCCTCATGATCCGCTAACTGCACGCCCCATAAGCAGGCCGTCAAAAAAAAAAAAAAAAAACGCGTCTGTAGGCAGCCTAGGCTACGAGATCTGTACCCAAAAAATAAAAGACAGCAACAGTGCTACCAACCACTCATAGTGGTTCCACAAATAGTGTTCCAAACAATTACTGACGTGGAAAAAATAGTGTTCCAACCAATTACTGACTGAACATGAAAATGCTTTTCTTAAGGCATACATTCTGTATTACAAATCCTTGTTTTTATTGGTTATATGTGATATTTTAATTTTCTGAGATACTCCATCAACTGTTTGGTTAGCACTCTTTATTCATTACTATGTATTGTCTCGCCAGGATATGCCAGGTGATAGCCGGAGCAACCAATGGCCATCTTCATCAGTGAGAGCATTGAGAGCACAGAGGTCCTCAGTAACGTGCCCTCAACTGCAGCTGCTGTAACAGTTTTATTTGGACTGCATGTGCTAAACCTCAAATTTCCAAAAGAACTGAAATTAACTATGTCGCCTCTGCACTCTGCTGCATTGTCAATGAATGACTGACAGCCTCCATTTCAGTACTTTGATGAACACACACACAGGATGGGAGAAACGCCTTTACCCCAGTCTCAACTACATCGTAATAGTAGTTCAGTAGTTGTTTGTTGTTTACTGAATGTGGCAATATCTATGTTTTGTATTTGATTTACATTTATTTCTTCTGACAAAAATTTCTGAGAGAACCAGACCAATTGTTTTTAGGTATTTGTTCTTTTTTCTTATTATTGTTCTTATGATATATTCACATTTTAATACTGCTATATATGAAATTCAATTTGAAATGAACTGATTACTTGAACTGTCTAAGAATTACAAGTGTAAGTTTGTTTTGCCAAAAAAGAGTCTAATCTTAAAAACAGTGATTTTCATTCAAGACTTAATAAATATTTAAAAGAACGTTTGATCTGACTCATTGATGTTATGCCAATTGTGAAGCCTTTTGTATTATTTGGAATGAATATTTCAGATTGAAGAAAACTCAATTTAGATCAAGTCTGCTAAAAACACTTTTTTTTATTTAAGCCAATTTAAAATAATGATTTACACCAAATTCAGAAAAGAGTTTGCATGAAATCAAGTCTGTTAAAAACCTTCTTTTTTCCATTTAAGCCAATTTAAAATATTGATTTACAACAAATTCAGAAAAGAGTTTGCATGAAATGCAGAAAATTAGTTTGAACTGAATGGTTTCTGAACATTAGGCCAATGTAAAATCTTTATTGTGAATGGTTACTTCAATTTTATTAGGTTAATCCAATGTTTCACTTTTTACAGTGTACTTGGAGGATCACATAATGACGGTTTGCCAGCCTATCTGGTAATTAATTTTCTTGTGTCAATAATCATATCCAGCTATCAACGAGACAAAATAAATGTTTCTGCAACAAGTAATGGCATAAAGAAGATGTTTGGTGAATGGATAGGTTCAAGACATGGAGAAATATGATAATGTACTGAATCTTGGCAGAGGAGGAGCGGGCGTTGTAATGTTGATGAAACATGTTGATACAAAGAAATTATGTGCAGTCAAGAGAATTCATGTGGACAGTTCCCGAAAAACAAAGTCCAAAGATGTTGTGTTGCAAGAGGCAGACATTCTCAGGAGCTTGAAGCATCCTCATATTATAACATGGATTGACACATTTTTTGACACAACTAATGAGTATATTTACATTGTTATGGATTATTGTGACGGTGGAACGTTGGATGACCACATTAAAGAACAGAAGAGTGGGGAATACTTTGAAGAATACAAAATTATGAACTGGTTTGTGCAAGTTGTCATGGCCGTCAGTTATATCCACTATGAAAAGATCCTTCACAGAGATATCAAGCCATCCAATGTGCTGTTAACCAAGAGAGGTGTGATTAAGCTTGGGGATTTTGGAATATCAAAGATTATGAACCGCACGCTGGATATGGCCTCCACCTGTGTGGGAACCCCCAGTTATCTGAGTCCTGAACTCTGTCAGGATGTCCCATACAGCATCAAATCTGACATATGGGCTGTTGGCTGCCTACTATATGAGCTTTGTGCCCTCAGACCAGCTTTTGAAGCTAAAAATCTCCTAAGTCTGTTTTACAAGATCATAAAAGCGGAGTACATCAAGGTCCCCGAGAGGTATTCAGAGGACATCCATACATTAATCGGGAAAATGCTGTGCGTGGTCCCTGAAAACAGACCGAGTGCGAGCAGCATACTTAGTATGACCTACGTGCAGGAACATCTGGGAAACTTCATCGAACACCAGGAGAAAGAACTTGCAAAGGGGAATGCTGAATGCAGACCTCAAACAAAAGAAGACTTTAACGTAGAAAACACATCTATGGAAAGCAGAACAGATAGTGCCTCAGCTGTCTCTGACAAGACACTGCAAATAGAGACGTCACTCACTGCTGAGGATGAAGTGGCCCATGAGGGAACAGAGTCTGATTATTCAGAGGACTTTGATGAACATGATAGCTATGTGTCCTCCGAGGATGTTTCGAGAGAAGATGTCTCCTCCAGCCTTGCCAATGTAGTTGAAGAGGCATTTGAGGAATCTAACGGTAAGGGTGTCATGTAATCATATTAATAATGTTTTCCATTGTATTATTATTATTATTATTATGAGGCAACATCCAAAGGAAACAGGCGTAGGCTGATACTGATCTAAGAAGGATTGTATATTTTTGCTGGCTTTCTTAACACCTTCGAGTATTCTCTGCATATCTTTTATGACAGTTGTGCCTGATGATGAGGACATCTCTGACTATCCAGATGACTTTGAAGAAGCTGAGGATGATGACCTGGCTGAGGTAGTCAGCTACGCCAGAGATGCCATGAACTGTGTTCCAGAGAATGATGTGTTTGATGTGGAACTGGAGCTCAAAGATGCAGGCGGTTTCTCTGTCACAATGAAACTGTTAAAAGAGAAATACATGGGTAAACATGCACATATCAAATTGGCAGCACTTTATTTCGATGGTCCACTTTTGTCATTCTACTAACTATAAGTAACTTTACAACTACATGTCAGCTAACTCTCATTAGAGTATTAGTACACTGTCTGCTTAATATCTGCTAACACTTTATTTTGATGCTCCCCAACAGACATTCTACTGACTATGGAAGTCCCTTTTTTCTGTATATAAAGTCTTTGCTATAAGTAACTTTGCAACTGCATGTCAAATTTTTATACTAACCCTAACACCTAACCATAACCTAACAGTCTACTACATTCTACTAGTAGTCTAATGAGAGTTAGTTGACATGTAGTTGCAAAGTTACTTATAGTTAGTAGAATGTCTAAATCGAAACAAAGTGTAGCCATGACATTTATTACAAGTTGGTTATTTTTTCTTTATTCACTTGATTTTTCTTGTTTTTTTTCCCCCCCTTGGTCTGTCTTAATTATAATTTACTTCAGTGATTAATTTAACAACCTGCTTACAATTTTGTTTTAACGGTTAAAAGAATAGTTCACCCCAAAAATATTTGTTGTCATCATTTAGTCACCCTTAAGTTGTTCAAACCCTGTATGAGTTTCTTTCTTCTGTTGAACACAAAATAACATATTTTTTAAGAATGTTGGTAACCAGACAATTGACGGTAGCCATTGACTTCCATAGTATCTTTTTTTCCTACTATGGAAGTCAATGGATGCCATCAACTGTCTGGAGACCAACATTCTTCAAAATATCTTTTTGTGTTCAACAGAAGCAAGAAACTCATACAGTTTTGGAACAACATGAGGGGGAGTACATGATGACAAAAATATTTTTGGGGTGAAATATCCCTTTAATGATTACTGCTATTATTGTTTCAGAGCATTTGAATGAATATATATATATATATATATATATATATATATATATATATATATATATATATATATATATATATATATATATATATATATATATATATATATATATATATATATATATATATATATATATATAAGTATTATTCTAAATACTGTTTGCCAACAAATCTGGTTCTCAGAGTGTCTCTGCATAAGTAAGTAAATGCTGTTCTGCTTTCTGGAGTTATAGAGGATGTTGGAGCCTCAGTCTATGAGGAAATCAGTGAGCACTTTCTGAATGGCCTCACGCCAGGAGACCTGCAGCCACAGTTCCAGCACATGATCGGGACAGACCATCTGGAGACCTGCTACCTCATTTTCAACCTTGACCAAGAAACAACATGCTGAATCATGCCTGTCCTATTTAGAGAAATTCATTTTCCTTGTTATAACAGTCAGTGCTTTAATGATGAACTTAAGCAAATGCTGGAATTGTATATTAAATACAGAATTTTGTAATATATGTAATGAATTATAACTAATATTATAAAATAGTGTGATTTTATAGATATTTGTCATCAAGATTTTTTTTTTTTTTTTTTTACCGCATGCATTCAATGCTCTTTTGAAAGTGTTACCTAGTATAACCAGTAGGTGGCACTCTATAGTAAGAAAATGTGTGGTGTTACATACCAATCCAGAAAATGAACGCACCATAGTTTCTCATCTTGGCATTATCAGTCACTTCACAGGACTGAAGTATAAAACTACTGCCTTTTAAATACCCTGTATAGTGGATACAGAAATTCATTATATCAATGGCACCCAGCCGACTACTTTTTGAAAAGATTTAACACATTTCATACATTCTTATTTACAAAAATGATCTCTCAACATGTCCATTAAACAATGGTTGTAACTGTGAAAGCAGTGGAGACTATCATGTGAACATTTCCTCCTGTTCTTTCACTCCACTATTGAAATTATGGGTCACAGCTGCAGTTGTTTTCCATTTAGGCGTTTTCCCTTAAACTTGTCCAGATTCTTCCAGCAGGGAATAGTCAGTGCGATAGAGAAACTGCCATGTGTAACTGTATAAATGGCCCTGTGTTATATGTTATTTAAGAATGTTCACAATCTGCCCCCAGAGGAAAGTGTGTCATCAATAGGAGATAGGTCTCCTCACAGAATGTTTTTTTTTTAAATATTTTGTTTGTTTTAATATCTTTAAAAATGAAAGAAGAATAAAAATGATTTTAATCAAAATAGTATCAGTCCCAGCGAGGAAGGGCTGTTGTGTGTGTGTGTGTGTGTATCATGAGACTTGAGAATCCTCGTTCTTCAAAAACCAAGGTCATGTTGATGTTAAAGCTAGTGTGCACTTTTATAGATGGAGTGGAGAAAACAACACTAGCTTAAAAAACTGTTTTTTACTTAGACTTAAGTTATTCACTGTAAAGAAAACAACTCTGAACATTAAAAATGTAAAGTCATTCCCACAAAATACATTTATTTTTTATAATGCAATGTTCTGAAAGAAGTAAAACATGGACTGAGGAGTCTTTCAGGTTATAGCTTTAAAAATGTCCCATATGCCTGATTGATTGTCTAGCATGTTTCTTTATTTATCCATCTATGCATTTAGAAGAGTGGATGAGAGACCAGAATAGATGCAAACAGGTCAAGACCACTTTAAGTAGCAATCACATCTATGCCTTGTCACTTTAAAACCTGTCAATATTTCAGCCATAGTTACAGGTCGAGCTTGTCACTTGTGTCTTTAGGGCTTTGTACAAAGTTTGATGCATTATTGATTGATTTCTGCACGAGTGCTCCGCCCTTTAGCTCAGCTTGATTTTTTTGTTTGCATATTTAAAAAAATATATATACCATGGGATCCTAATTAAGTGTATTTGTTTGTTTTTGTTTTGACTTGCATTTCTAAAAGTTTCTTAAATTATAATTAGATTTTTCCTTTATTATCTCGTGTTGTTTACCTTGGTGTGTCCTAATTATATTGTACTTCATGAATTGGTGAATTGAACAACCTGCTTTCAATTATGACAACCTTTGGTGTAGTTTTTTGCATGTTATTGAATATGGCAATATTAATGTATTTGGTATTGGTGGACTAGATCTGCTATAGGCTGCTGCTGTTGATTATTGCTGCAAGTATGGACTTGCTTCTGCTTAAACACAGACATGATGCTGTGAGCATGCAAGCTATCCTGCTGCTGCATAAACAGACATACATAAATACTCTAGCAGATCTAGGCAGGTGGAACTGGGGGAGGTGGAAGGTTTCAGAGGAAGCAGACTATTTAAATAAAACAACAGAAGCAGAGAGTGCTACATGGGTGTCTTTACGTAGCCACTGGTGCTCATTGGCTGTTTACTTCACCACGTGAGTGCCTTGGAGTATTTCATCTTCAGACTATTTAAATGTTGAGCAAGCAATCTCATTGGCTGCAGGATCAGCAGAGGCCAATCAGCTTGTGCCACCATGCAATAATGTTGTGATTGCTGGCAGATTGCATCTAAAGGACATATCAGCTTGCAGCCTCCAGTTTTAACATGCAAATTGATTAAAAACATTTGTTATATAGCAATGAGCTTTGTTTGCTTATTGCAGATCTTCAAAAAACTTTATTATAGGCCTTTTCTGGCGAACAGCCTCATGCTTATTGGCTTGCCAGGCTTGTTCAGGAAAGTCCTATTTAACAGTCATTATATTCAAGAGAAAGGAAGTGCTGCAGAGAGAATGGGAGGAAATGCAGGCAAACATGTTCCCCTTGACCTTTAATAGACAGCACATGTTTGGCCTACATTGGTGTGAGATTTCTCTGATAGATAGCTTATACTGCTCCTCACACATGTGTTCCATTGAAAGCTTGGATGTTTAAATTCCTTGTTTGCTTATCAGAACATATTTTTATGGAAAATTCATTGGTTCCAGCAGTACTCTAAATCTCGAACCCACTATTCATTCAAGACCACAGGAAGGAAGTAAAGAAAAACATCAAAAACTATGCATGAGAGTCAAGCTCACAGCATAAGTTTTGTCCCTTTTCCAAGTAGAGGAATACTACAAATCTCCAGGCTGACTGTTGTATGTCACAGCTCTAAAATATTGATGTGCCATTGTTTCCGGTGAAACAGCCTCACTGGAGACCAGTGAGTATTAGAGAAGTGAGGTGGAAGACGGTGACAGTAGCCTGCACTCGCTCCAGTTGCGTCTCCAGAGACGGCATATATCACAAACCACATTGAAAATCTGCCCTATTCTAACCCAAGAACAGAGGGACTAAAAGCAGCACTAAAAATTACATCTAACTTATCAGCTACGACTGTGTAGAAGGCAAACTGTGTTGTCCAGTGGAAGAGTAAAAGCCCCATAGAAAGGTTGATGGCACTTTAATCTCACCATCTTGTGCTGACGCTATATGTTAAAAATACCTACAACAACAGCTGTCTAAACGGCTTATATCAGGACTGTATAACATGAATCTAGCCATGAAACTGAACAGCACAGATTTATACAGTTCAGCTGTTAGATATATTGGCTCATAGGTGTTACTACTTTCGAATAACCATTATGCTCCAATTTAATGTTACTCAGTCATTTAGAAAATGTGAGCTGAATTCTATATGGAAGCCTGTTTACGCCTCATAGTACAAGAAATGAAAAAGTAATTTGCGTTGATGTGAATCTTTATATCTTGCCATATTGTTTCTCATAATTGTTTTATAACGTTCAATGTGATTTTGTTGAAATATGACCATTTTATTCACCACAATGTGACTTTAAAGCATAATTGATTTACAACTCACAATATGACTTTATATCTCTCAATATTGATTTTATCTCACAATGTGCCTTTAAATCTTGCAGTTACAATGTTTTTTTCTCACAATTGCAATTTTATAACTTATATTGCGATTTATAGGACGGTCTCAAAATGACTTTATATCTTGCAGTAATCGCAATTGCGACTTTAAATCTCACAAAATCCAAATTGTGATTTTATATCCTACAATGACTATTGCAGTGTTTCACATAATTGCATGTTTACTCACAATATGACTTATGTATCTTCAGTGTGATTTAAAAATCTCACAATTGTGACATTGTTTCTCATAAACAGGCTTCACCACATAATGTGACTCTTTAAATAATGCTCCCGTTTCACATTAACGGAGAAAATGTAAAGTACTAAGTGGCCTACTGTAAAGAGTGACTAGAGAACAGTGTTCACATTCCCCCTCACCATGCATGACACGTTAATCACAAATGATGAGAGCAGGTCAAAGCAATTACATGTCAGAAAGCTGCAGTGTCATGGCACATAATTTCACTTTATTACCTGACATGAAGGAGACCTTGAGGTGTGAGTCTCGGTTCGATCTCTGCCCAGTCTTCGGGGTTTGCGGTGGGGCAGTTTAATAAGAGCTATTGTAAATGTCCTTGTAAATGATCGGTGTCAACAGAGTGCACTTTATGGAGTTTGTAGTGTACTCCTGAGAGGATTATCCTATGACGAGAGGTGAAAGGGTCTTTACGCCTTTCAGACGTAAGCTGAAACTGGCAGAATGTAATTTCCAACTTTATATAATTGATTTCAGAGTGTAAAACTCTGACACCCCAAACACATGAGGGATTTCGTGAATATTTTCATTGAAATAGGTATTTTAAGTCATGTATGGACAGACTGTTCTCTGGTTCAATGTTAGTATTTTGTCCTTCAGTGACAGTTGTCTCATGGAGAAACTGTTTAAAGACCCTCGATAGGTATAGATTAACAGGGAGCAAGATCGATTTTTCTCCTCAGATCCTTTAATCCCAGTTTATTGGAAGTCCAATAACACTCAGCACAATATTGTGATATTAAAGGCTATTGGTCCCATTCTGCTATTGTGGTTGCTGCTCCATAATCTTCCTGTGAAGGTATTTCAAAAGAGTTAGATCCATAATCACACAATAAATGGTGCAGGAGAATTTGGACCCCTCAAAAGTGGAGTGTTTGATGTATTGAAACAGAAATAAACCTAATGCAGTTTTGCGGTCACTCATGCATCTCTTCAACATTAGGATTTCCATGGTGTTTGTTTTTGATTCAATCATAATTCACAGTGAAGCTCTCATTTGAAAGTCCACTGCAGATGACAGTGTGTGACGGATTAGACTTATCAATGACTGTGTAAAAAGTGTAACACCAATACAAGTTACTTCAAAGTTTATTGCATTGATTTGTTCAAAGATGCTGATTCATTAAGGAACAAAACAAGTGACATATACTATATGCCTACTTCCCTTCTATATAGCAGGCGAAAAGTATTATGTGAAATGCCTTTCGCCTTTTATACTTCTTTCTGATGAAAATGGGGGAAGAGTTGTGAAATGGCAGTGAAGCGACGCAACTGATGCTGTAGGTCACATGACAACATGACAGATGTAGAACATCTGGATTTCTGAAATCTAAAAAGACAAATGGGACACCCTACAGTTTTGTGGACTTCACATGCACACGACAGCCATTGTAACATCGATTATGTGTTGACTTTGGTTGTAACTTCACTGCCTTCAC